GACCTTGAATTTTGATTCTCACATTCACTCTCTCCTTCCCCCAAGCCTCAAACACTTTTTGCTTCACTTCCCACATTAAGACTGAAAAAACCTCAAAGAACCTCCCCACCCCATAGAGACTCTGTAAATAATTCTTTGTAAGGAAGAGTAGGACACTCACCGATGATTTCATTGTTTTTCCCTGATCAAGAAAGACAAACACACACGAGTTATTATGTGGCACAGTCCCTTCCCTGGGACGCCCCCCCCCCCAGCTGAAGGACCACACAGGTCAGGAAAGAATGAGATGGAAGGGGGAGATGCTCTGGTTCTGCTCTGATTGCAGGGACAGCTGACCTGTATTAAGTTTCCCCATCATTTTTCCCCCTTCAGTAGCACCGTTTTTGCATGAGGTTATGTTGAATAGCCAAAGGACTATTTATTGGCAATTCCGCAAGCAACAAACAAACAAACAAACAAAAGATATGACCTGTACAAGAAAGTCTGATTTTTCAGCAATTCTTAGTAATCAAGGAATTGACCTTTTTATGAGGAATTTCCCAACAGCTCAGGTTTCTGTAATTTGCCCCTAAAGGACAAGAACTGTTCAGAACTCTTGCACTACTTCCATTAAAGGGGGTGTCAGAAAGCATCGACAGCCACTCAGGAGAAAAATCCTAAGGATTGTTTAGGGTGAATTTTGACATGATTATGGGGTCAGGGGAGGAGGAAGGAAAATCTCTGCCCAGAAAGAACATTTGGACAGACTGAGAGAATGAATGAAAAGGTCTGGAAGTTTTCAGAGGGGATTTCCCCGAGGAGACGGGCAGTGAGACTTACGCAGTGCTTCCTGTTGCCTCTCTGGAAAACAAAAACAGATCAGAGCGTCAGCACCAAAGTTGTGGCCGTTTCCCTGATACACTCCTTGGGGTAGGGAGGAGGCTGAAACTGCTGCCAAGGGCAAAGCTGCAGCCCAGGAGCTCCTCAGGGCCTGTCTTGCCAAGACGTTGGGGGTGTCGCCCACCCTGCCTGAGCCCGCTGTGGGCAGAGATCAGCACGTGCTGCTGGAGACCTGAGCACGGGCTGCAGCTC